AAGGGGGTCCACTGGGGGGGCCGAGAAAAAGGGAGGGAAGGAAGGAGGGGTTTCCATGGCAACCACGGGTCCTGCCCGGGGGGGAGGCGGCGGCGGCCGGGCAGCGGACTCACCAGGGCGGCTCCGAGAGACGAGAGGGCAAGGAAGAGCCCGCGTCGCCGCCGGACCCGCGTCTCTCCTCAAGCTCTCCCTGGCCGGGACCTTCCCTTTCATTCGGAGGGGCAGCAGCAGGAGAGAGAGAGAGACACAGAGAGAGAGAGAGAGAGGACGTTGCGCCCCGGGCCTTGACGTAAGCACGCACGGCGCGCGCCCGCGCGCACCCCCCGCTGGCGTCGCGACGTCCCTGCGTGAGGCCGGCGTCGTGACGTCAGAGGAAGCAGACGCCTTTTCCGTTCCACTCCACCAAGCCTCCCATCGCCGGACGGCCTTCGGCGCATGCGCCGTAACAAGAGGCCTCCTTTCTTTTTCCCCCACCCCCACCCCTTCTCCTTCAAGGAAAATGGCGATTGGGAGAGAAGGGCGGCTCGCGCTGGCCGTGGAGCGGCGCTTGGGGGAAGGCGCGTGCGCGAGACAAGGGGCCGGGAGGGGAGGGGGGCCGCGTGGAAGGAGGCAGAAGCCGCAGGCAACGGAGAGGAAGGAGGGTAGAGCGGGGCATTCGCGCACGCGCGTTGAAGAGGAGGCGGCCTGCCCCGGGTTTGAAACGGTCGGGAGTACGGCGCATGCGTGCGCCCCGTTCTAAATGACAAGTTGCCCGCCTGGCTCCCCCCTATTTGGGTTTTTTTATAAAGTATTTTGCGGCCTCGTTGTGCGTGTCTTTCCTTTGTTTTTTTCTCGGTCGTAACTTTAACCGCCCTTTAAAAAATGGACTTAATTGCAAGAGCTAATATATAATAGTAATGTATAATATGGTAATACAGTATATGGGACCTGCTGTTCAGAAATACACACACACACACAGGCAGTTAAGTGCATATCTCTCTCAAGCAGATATCAAGTAAACTCTTGTGAGACTTGTAATCTAAACATGTAACTTTTTCAAGAAAAGGATATATAGGACAATACATCTTTACAAAACGTTTTCATAACTACCTTTAGCAAAGCATGGCTACAGATAATCTGAATTTTCACCCAACTGCATCGTCTTGAGGAAGAGCAACATTTACAGTATTTATTTATTTTTTGATTCCCCAAAAGCTCCCATTAAAATAGACAGCAGCTAAATCTTCAGATGCCACGACGTTTTTGTCTTCCTTTATTTTATTTCCCATTGTTCTCTCCTTTTTTTGCCAGCATTGGTACACATGCGGTGAAATTAGCAAGGACCTGCCTTTGCCAGCTGGCAAGAGAATTTCTGCTGAGGAAGATGGCGGCAGACCGAATTTAAGACTGGACAAGGGTTTGTGGCCCTGTTTTCCTCGTGGGCAGATCCGTCCCTGTGAACACGCGTGGCAGAAATCCGGCCGCCGCAGTTGTGCGATTGTGCAGGAAGACCCAACAGGGCAACAGGAACTACTGGCTTTGCATCCTCTCTATATAACAAAGATTCTCAACCACTTTTAATCTCCGTTCACATCCCTTTTTTCTTGCGTGCCGTGCCTTGAATTTTGGATCCCAAACCTGAAGGCAGATCATTTTTAAATAACTGCTCTGGGGAGCTCTTTGGGGGCAAATAAATCAATGGTACAAGTACCGTTGTCCGGGCACACGAGCAGTCTAAGTTGGACCGTGGAGTTTTCGTAGCTGTTCCTAGAAATTCACTCACTCTTAATCCCCGTGTTTCCCTGAAAAGGTCATCTCCCATCAGCCTCACTTGGCATAGATTATTCATCTGTGACCTTTGGGTATGGTCGTAGTAACTGAAGAGACGGTGTCTCTCTGAAGCCTGTTTCCTCTGCTCCCAATTTAACAGAAAGGATAAATGCTGTAGCAGAACGACTGCAACATGACATAAATTATAAATACAGCAGAGTACCCCTGGAAGTAGTGGGAGTTTGAAAATTGGGGTGGGACGTTGCTTGGCTAGTGAGATATAAAGTACCAGAGTTTTGAATCAGGGACTCAGGATGGCGTGTCGTCCTTTTGTTTCTCTGCAAAAACAAACCAGGGAAATAGGTTAAGCAACGAAACTTGTGACTGTTTGGAAGAGCCACTCAGCAAGGAATACGATTGGAACTGGGTTTTCCATAGATCAGGCTAGAGCTTGGAAGCAATGAGTTAATAAATAATTGACATTAGATGTAACACATTGCACTTAAAAATAATAATAACAAGGGTTAATGTTACTTTCTCAAATGTTCAGCATATCACCTTCCAGTTTTGGCATAACAAAGTTCCTCAAACCGTTTTTGTTTTTGTTTTTCTTTTTTACAAAATTACCTCTCCAATGGAACTTTATGAAGGACTGCATAAACCCGGGAGGCAGTGGAAGACAAGAGGGCCTGGCGCGCTCTGGTCCATGGGGTCACAAAGAGTCAGACACGACTAAACAACAACAAGCACTACCTGTACCACAGAAAACTTCATTTTTCTTTAAACCAAAAATCAATTCATGTAAGGACTTCCATGGCTTCTCTGCAAAGCTGACCATACTTCTGGAAGCCTCCTGGAGATGCTGCCAGACTGATAAACAAGGCACATGGGTTGTCCCGTGGCCTTACCTTCAAGGAATGAGTAGAAAGGTAATAATAGTTTAGTACAGTACCACTTCCAACTTCTGGCTCACACCACTGCCTTCATTTCTACTGACTCTTGGGTCATAGGGCAATAAAGGAACTACAATCCTGCTAAACAAAATTAATTTATCCATCAAGAATGGAAGAGAAACCGTTATTACAAGCAATTGTTTTCTAACAGTGGAGTGTGATAATTAATTCCAGCCTTGTGATTAATTTAGATGGCTAGTGGGGATGACTACGATGCAATGGCTAGAATCCTCTTAGTTATACCTACTTGTGTAACTCTAGCGGCGTAACGTTCAGCTACGCATTGCTGCAAGTTAAGAAAAGGGCATAGGTGTTTCTACCAAACTCTGGTGGTAAGTGCCTAGATATATGGAGCCAAAGCTGGGCCAATGAGAAACCAAAGGTAGACGAGACGTTCTGTGCAAGTCCAAAGCCTGCATATATGCTTATACTAGGGAACACTTGTGTAACAGAAGATCTTCTTTTAAACTTCTGTGCTCAGTAGAAAAGCACCTTTAAGCTTGAAGAAGTGGGCAGTGACTACCCCCTACCGGCTATGGATTCAAATTGCATCGTCTATGAACACAATAAATGCATCCAAGGCGGCCAGGCGGGATTCTCAAAAATGCCAAAAAGCACTACAAGAGAATCACATTTGCTAAAGACAGGCAGCTGCTACACTGCAGTTCAACTGCACCTTAGTTCTACTGTACTTTTTTCCCCTTTCCTTCGTGGGGTGTAATCTCTGCTTTTATTTACAAGCAATTTCAAAAACAGGTTACCGGTCTTTGCCAGGCCACACAATAAACAGTAAGGAATATAAAATGGTGCATTCAGATTCAGCATCCCATGCATGATTCTCTCAATAAGAACTAGTGTTCCTTGGCAAAGTGGTTCTCATGTGGAAAATAGTCCCTGTAAGAAGGCTACATAATAGAGGCCTAAGGCTTTCGAGAAGCCTCCCGAGGCTTCTCTGAGATGGAGTGAAACCAGAATCTCCCACAAATGCAGGATTCAGTGAAGAAAAGAGATAATGTTTTACCATCACAGCTGAGTGCGTTTTTAAATCCCTCGGACTACCAGGGGAGAAAAGAGAGCATGGCAGGTCATGAACTTATGCTTTGTCATTCTCTTCTGGATTTGCATTAGAGGAAACAGATCCTCGATTTTTTGAAACCGATTACATGATACCTGGCCTGGGGAAAAAAAAAGTTTTCTAAGCAGTTCTAAAGTTGAAGTTTTGTTTTGTTTTTAGCATCCAAGGCTTTCTCTGCTATCCTTTCCCTTTTAACCTCCTCTGCTTCTTTTTGTAGCTTTCTAATTTCCGCATCATAATGCAGCTTCACCTTTTCCGCAGCTAAATTATTTTTAAAAAATCTTGAGATTGTTTAACTCTTTTTGCGCATTCTTCTTGTAAAGATCCAAGTGCGTATTTTTTCCCCCTATGCCCGCCATCGTTCCTCCTTTTAACTTTGGGAGCTTTCTGATTTCCCACATAGATCTAATTTAAAAGAGTTCATGTGGGGATCCTTTTTTTTTTTTAACTGTTGCCTTTGAATCTTCTCTAATTGGATGTCTTCACTCAGTGTTCCTTTTCTGGAACAGCTTAGCCCTACCTGGGTTGCTCCTTGTTTGTGTTCGGCTTTTGAGTTCTACAAGCTCTGTCTTTAGAGAAGAGAGCAGAAGCTTTAAAGAGGTGCTTCCCCAATGCTCCTTGTTGTCTTTAAAGCTGCACATTCCTTTGTATTCGAGAAACAATGACTTTCTGTGTTCATCATGTTTCCTCTGGATCCAGCATCAATATTAGCAGATCTCCAGCAGGTAGAACCCTTTTCCATTACATCCTTTGACATTTTTTAATCTTTGTCTCCCCTAAGCTTGGCTTATTCCTTTCATTCACAATTCGTTTGGAAGGAATATCTTTTCCTTGTGACTCTTCTTTGTCTGGAAAACTTGCAACCACCAGCCTATAGAGTTCTTTGGTTCTCCTTGCTCTCTCCGAATACAGCTTTTGGCAGATCATGCCGATGGGCTTCACAAAAGTAGCTTTCCTGGCTGAAATTGGGAGGGGGGGGGAGAACAGATTTTCTAGCCAATATTGACTTGGTTTCTCCATTTCAGAGACTTCTTTGCCAGTTAATGTAGAAAAGAAAATGAAACCAGTAATAGAAAAAAAAAATGAAATCAGATTGGTTAAATTGATGGACCTGCTAGTACTTCTAATTTTTAAGTCAAATTCCTAAACATCTTCACTAAAACATAAAATCTACTGGTATTAGTTGCTTAAAATTGTTATGGGCCATCCTACATGCACACTGCTGCTGGTGTCACGTACATCCACACTCATTCCCAGGTGGTATCAGGACTCACTGGCGCAGTGCAAATGTGTCTGTATGTATGAGCATACAGCTTGTAGCGTGTGCTTGCTCAACATCAATATGTCAAAAAAAGCCAGGCGGGAAGGCTGGGGAGGGAACCAGTCAGAGAATCTACTTGAGCTCCTAATAAAATCTGGAGCAAGTTGGAGTCTGGGATGTATTCTGCCACCTTTCACAACAGCTAAGCCTGGGACGTGGTGGCGCTGCGGGTTAAACCGCAGAAGCCTCTGTGCTGCAAGGTCAGAAGACCTGCAGTCGTAAGATCAAATCCACGCAACGGAGTGAGCCCTTGTCGCTTGTCCCAGCTCCCGCCAACCTAGTGGTTCGAAAGCATGCAAAAATGCAAAAATGCGAGTAGCTAAATAGGTACCACCTCGGTGGGAAGGTAAACGGCG